ATTAGTTTACAACATTTTAAGACTGTGTTTAAGACAGTCTTAAATATTAATAATTGATAATGATTATATTTATAATTGATTCTTAATATTTAAGACTGTCTTAAACACAGTCTTAAAATGTCGTTAACTAATTATAACAGAGCCGTATTAGTATCTTAAGATATTACTTATAAATATTAGCCAAGAATTAGAAACAACTGAATGGAGGAGCGCGCGCCGGCCATGAGCGCCGCATGGACAAGAGCGATTATTCGTTAACTTTAATCAGTTCTCCTGCCAAAATTACTTGTCAGATCAAAATTTGCTAAAGGAAAAAGTTGTTCCTTTTAGCACAAAGTATCACGTCCTGTATTCCAAATGCGCCAATTTTGGGACACCCTGTATATGGAACTTTTTTTCCCGGGATAGTTCAAAAAACACCAAAACGAGTCATTTTTCGTAATTTTTTGTATATTGATTACGAATCCGATGATTAAATTATCCCATAGCGTCACAATTTTATTAGAAATTTTATTAGACATGTGCAATTAAATTTCTAAAAAAGCATTTTTCCTGCGTTTACTTTGACGCTCACAGCACTATTGATCAATCATTTCATCCTTATTATTTATGTCAAACAAGGATAAATTATGCTCACGAGCGCTATGAGCGCCAAACCGAACATAGAGATAATATAACAAAACACGTAAAAATATTGCAACTTTAACTGCAAAGAAGGATACAACTTTTAGGCGTTTTGGCTACCGTTAGGGGATCGTTTTATTTCTACATTTTTTAATATATTTTTCTTCGTATAAACCGAAAATGATCATTGTAATAACGCCATACGTAAGGAAAAATTGGTACATTGAAATAAAATAAAATAAATAAAATCCTTATTTGCATAGCTGAAATCGCTGTTATAGTTATACTTCAATAATTTAAAAATTAATTCATAAATCGACCAAATGCGAGTATAATGTTGCATCGCAAAACATTAATTTATATTTATTAATAGATTATATTTATTAACAAATTATATTTTTACTATAACATTTGTTATAAAAAAATTAGTAATTAATCTAATGAGAAACATGAAAACTTGAAACTACTGATACATCAATTATTGCATTCTAATTAATCCTCTTTACGAATTATTTCTAGATTCGATTTATATCGAATATAATATATTGATAATTGAAAGTAAATTAAAAATTGTCTTATCTAAAAAAATAATTAAATAAAAATAAAAATAAAAATACCTTTATTTTTAGACTGGGGACCGACAATGGTTAAGTTGCATCTCCTTGTTTACATATATACTCATATATACATATACATATATACATATGTACTTACAGAAACGCCAGTACTCAACAAAAGGCACCAAATAAATTATTCGAAACTATTCAGTGCTAATTTTGGGATGAAGTTAGCACCCCCATTTTTCAAAAAGTGTTTTCGTTATAATGGACAGAAATATTTCTAAGAACTATTAAGAAATTCCTTTTCGTTTGAATAATCCAGAACTCAATAATTAAGAAGTTATTCGAGTTAGAGATTTTTCGATATGTTTGTGATTTTCGACAGCAATTTTTGAAATAGTTATAAAGATTTGATATTTTTTATCTATCAGGAACTCTAGAATCTGTCAAAAGGAATCAAATAGGCTGTTTAGAACTATTCGAGCTAAATATAAAATTTTTTAATTTTTTTAAGGAAGGGAGAGAGAGAGAGAGAGAGAGAGAGAGAAAGAAATCGCGGACAATCCGGACGCGGAGCACGTCGAAGGTCCCGGACAATGGATGATAGCAAGGAGGATATTCTGAGCTTATTGTTAGAACGAGAAGATCCTACAAGACATTTTTCCCATACATTTTTGAATTTCGCGCCAACTATCGCAAGATATGCGTCTCGTCCGCTATGCGCAAGCGATTAAATGTTTTAGAAAATATGTACATGTATATATCGAGAAGAATGAACGAGCGAGATGGGTGCTGTTTTTTCGCACATTTTGAAGTCGACGATGTGAAATTTTGCAGTGAGTTTGACAGCTGAAGATCATAGTGATTTTACAATAAGATGTATTTAATTACGCGATGTAGGGATTAAATGTGTACATATTACGTTGTGGAAGGAAGAAGTTATAAACAGTTTTTAAAAAATGAAGAAAAGAGGAAAAACGATTGAGACATGACGAAGAAGAGAAGACATGACAAGAAGAATTGCAAGAGCACACGCAAAAAAATGACACAATTAGTAATAGTAGCTAAATTGCAATAGCTGAATCAAACTTAGCTGTAAGAGCTATCGCCTTAGTGTCATCGCTAAATTCTGGCTATTACAGATAAAAAACAATCACTGCGACAACAAAATTTGTTAACTGAAATTAAAAACATATATTAGTACAGGCAGCTAAAAAGATGCATACCTAAATGTCTTATCATGCACACAATTAGCACACAGAGCTGAGTTTATAGTTAGGCGCAAAAATTTTATTTGTAATTGTTTTTGCAATGTGGCACTGTCATATGCACATCTACAGCGCATTTAGCATTTATATTTTGCAGTATATAATCTATATACTGCAAATATTATTAATCTCTATTACGAAAATAAAACAGCATAGTAGATTTGGCTAAATATCATTTGATTTTAGCAGTAAATATTTTTTGCCGTAGCACCTACATTTTATTAACTAATAAATTTAACTTCGGCAGCAACGACATTACTATTAGCTGTCCCTATTTTAATGATACATCTTAGCTGCCATAGCTATATTTTAGCTTCATTGGCTAATCCTTTTTCTGCGTACAAACAAGATTAAAACAATTTTAGAATATTATAAATAATTATGTAAATGAAAAATGCAATATTAAAAATGCAAAATATTAGACTTAAATATGAATAATTATAGAATAAAAAAATAGAATTAAAATTAAAATAGATTACAAAGTATAAAATTTTTTATTTACAGGAACTTTAACACATATTTTCACCAAAAATCTGTACATAATAACTTGATATAACTCCTGTTATATAACATATCTTTAATTTGTTATAATATACCAGATATAAGAACAACCAAGTTATGTAAATAAACTAAAATAACTGTAAAATACTTGATAAATAACAAAATGCAATGGTGAACTAACAAAGGCAATCAAGTGAAAAATAATACTAGTTTACAGTAAAAATTACTTTGAGTCGAACTAAATATTTAGTTCAGGAAAATTGATTTTTTCTTTACGTTTGGGCGACAAAATTGTATATAAAGGTTTTTCGCAGAAAGTTGTTTAAAATGGCATATTATCCTGGCTGCCCGTATACTTGCGCAATTCAGCTTTAAAAAACTGGCAAAAAGCATGGTTTTTAAAAAATATCTCTAAAAATATTGATTTTTATCGAAATATAAATTTCATTATCAAAAAAAGTTAGCAAAATTACGAACAATATGGTTTTTTGTTGAAGGTTATATGATCAATACTTTGCAAAATAGAATTTTTTTAAATTATATTTTTGATCATTTCGAAAACAAATCAATTTTTCGCATTTTTTTTTCGTAAATATCTCAAATTTAGCTACTTCTATGTAAAAAATACCTCTTATAAAAAAGTTATTAAATTTCCTAGAAAATTGTTTTTTATTCATCTTCGTACGACTAATTCTTTCCGAGATACGATTTTTTAAATGTTTTCTTTAATTTTCGAACAAAACTTATTTCTTAATGTTATTTGTAAATATTTTGGAGTCGACTCTTACGTAAAAAGTACCTATTATCAAATCAAAAGGTTTTTAAATTTCCTGCAAACTAATTTTTATTGAACTTTGATAAATAAACAACCAAGACATAAATTTTCTCATATTGTAATAAATTTTAATGAATAACTTGTTTGTAGCTTATCGTATGTGAAAAATCTAAAGAAACAATCTTAAAGCTTATGAAATTAGCTTGAAAATTTTTATTGAACTACGTACGATTAATATGTAGTTTCCGAGATACGACATTTTAAAGATATAAGATTTTCAATTTACGTTAAAATCTGAGTTTATTTATCAATACAAGTATATCGAATTGGGAAAATTAATATTCGTATTTTCTCAAGATTTATACGTATTTATATGCGATCTTAGTGTATCACTCTCCAAAATTTATTTTGGGAAAAACAGCTTGGAGAAAAATTGTCTTTTTTAAATATTTTCTTAAAAAATGTGTTCTTCATTACTTTTTTAAATAAATATTTCAATTTTTATTAGATTTACGTAAAAAATGCATCAAAATCGAAGCTTTTAAAATTTCTTATAAAATGCTTCATTCAGAATTCTCTGTCCGTCGATTTG